TCGCTGCTCCTCGTCGCTGCTCCTCGTCGCTGCTCCTCGTCGCTGCTCCTCGTCGCTCCCTCCCCCTTCCTCCCGGTCACTGAGGCTCACAGCCATTGGCTGAGCTCAAGCTCACTCCTGTCTCCTTGTTCAGCTGCTGCAGGAGCTTAGTGAGGTATTTTACGTGTAGCAGCCGCCACACGATCATCAAATGTTTGTGCAGTTACTTTAAACAGCCGCTGAGTTTTCACACGTTTATAATATTCTAAAAATATATGAAATGTTTCCATAACGGATTATAAGTGATGTTAAACACAAATATTCAAATGATCAAAGTCCACGCTCAATAATCCAGGTTAAAATCCAACAATGTTCAGTCAGGTCATCTGGACGGTTTCTTTTCTTTTCTTTTTTTGGGTTGAGACGTTTCGTCCTTCATCCATTTTAGTAGAACATCAACCTGGACATGTCATGTCCAGGTTGATGTTGTACTAAAATCCCAGTTTAAGGACCAGACTTAAGTAAGACGCATGTCTAATCATAAACGTGTGTCCACGTCAGGAAAAGGAACCCACAACCTACAGCATGAGCTCACAGCACTGTGTTTAGTTTGGTCTCAGTGGACTTCTTCACTTGTTTTACCCTGAAGGTACTTCGTCTGTAAAACAGATGATCCAGAGGAGACGCCGAGTGGCTTTTGGAAAAATGCAAGAAGGTCTTCAGTTAATTCACACTGCTGAAGGATTGTAGCCACACGTGTCCCAGAACACTCCTGGGTGGTTGTGGTCTGAGTGACAAGCTAATGTTCACTGACTGTTCAACATTCACACTAAAGCTCTTTATTTGTAGCCTGATACAAAAGAAGTCACGGCTGCCGTTAGTAAGGATGCATCGTAGAAGGACTCTTTAGATCCTCAGCCTCACCTGACGTTCTGCGGATGTGGAGAACATAACCGATGATGTCCTGAGTGTTCTGTTGGGGCTCCCTCCAGGACACCTGGATGGTGGTGGGGGAGAGGGCCTCGGCCTGCACGTGGGTGGGGACACCGGGCAGTCCGTCAGACCAGAGCACGGTGAGGCGGGCGCTGGCCTGTGTGGAGCCGGCTCTGTTCTCAGCAATGCACTGGTAGATGGCCTCGTCCTCCTGGCTGATGCTGTGGATGGTCAGAGTGCTGTGAGAGCAGAGGGACCAACAAGTCAGGAGTTTAGTTTGTGGAACAAAAGAACTGGGCTCACCGTCACATTATTGTTGCATTTCATCTGCTTCTGTTAATAACGGTGCACGTAGAAACAGATGCAGTGTCCATGAGACGCTCACTTGGAGCTGCAGTAAATGTCTAAATGTGTGATGACAGAAAAATGACACATCAGCACCAACAAAGCTCAGGACGGACTGAACATACACCTGAGTTCTCCACGCACGAAAGCCTCCATGATTTTCAAAAGATTTTATAAACCACCATGCTGTGGAACATGTGGACACATTTTCAAGTGAGTCAGAACCAGGATCAGTGAGCTGTGGACTATTTAACTCCATCGTGTGGCTGTAACAGCGCCGGTGGCAGGGATGTCGGCTCACCTCGGGAATCGCTCGCAGCTGCTACGATCAAGACTTACGGCAGTTTACATCATAAAAACCACGCTCAGAAAAATCTGCTGGACGCTTGTTAGAAATACAATTGTCATGTTGCAGATGTACGTGTAAACTTTTACAGAATTTACACTAAATTCTTTAAAGTAAAAAACAAACTTAAGGAATTTAGAGTATTTATATACTTTAAGCCATTTAAATTTAAATAAGCTGCTAAAATATTTCATATTTTTTCCCAAGCTTGAGCTTGCTGCTTGTTCCCGTACAGGCCGGGTCACACCAGGGCCGACTCGCTCATAGTTTCTGTGTTTATGGACAGGAGCTCAAAGAGGGGAGGGTGTCTGCTTTGTGAACTTCATGCTTTCTTTTGTGCCTGTTGCAGACATTGGACTTCAGCTAAATCGTGACCTTCAGCAGCGAAGCATCAGTCTGGGTGAGTCACTTTAATGCTAAGCACAAAAAGTCTTTTCAAGATGGAGAGATGATAAAATAGTTATTAGTTGAAGCAGCTGACTCGTTGACAGAGACTTTAAAAACAAACCAGAAACATTATTAACATTAAATTTGGGGAGTGGTGGCGCAGAGGTTAGAGAGGTGGGCTTGTGATCCGAAGATCGCCGGTTCACGCCCCGGCCCCGACAACATCAAAATTGTGGGTGGGGTAGGTGAAACACCCACACTTGCCCCCACCCTCATTCGCCCCACTCTGGGCCCATGAGCAAGGCCCTTAACCCCCACCATGTGCTCCCTAAACAGGTCTCTCTTGAAAATGAGTTCTCGTGGCTGAATGAGACTAACCTGGATAAATAAAGGCTAAATGAAAAAAAAAAAAAAAAAAAATTATCTTCCATCAAAGCTCTCCAGTATCAAGGAATATGGTTACAGTTAAAAGCAGCTGCTGTCAGGGCTGAAGTTTCACTTTAGTTCTCAAATTTTCAGGTTATTTTTCCAACATGAACTTATTCTTGTTGTTTTCTGTTCCTTTGTGTGAAGAACAGCTTATTGCTGGGTTTGGTTATTACAAAGTATTTTGTACGCGGACAGTAAAATAAATTGTCACTTTTTTTTAACAAACTTTTGGGTTTTGTCATTTATGTTGCATTCACAGCGAGCTGGGACTTATTCTATAATATCCTGCTGCATGCTCAATAATCCAGGTAAAAAAATCTAAAAAAGTTCAATCTGGTCCTCTGGACATTCAAAAAAACAAAACAAAGCAAAAAAATATAGAAACGTTTCGTCTTTCATCCAAAGGACTTCCTCAGTCTGAGGTGCTGTATTCAGCTCAGTCTCTTAAATAGCACCTTCTCAGAGTGGATCAACCAGTTTGCTGCTGACAACCAGAACCAGCTGCTCACATGCTCAAGAAGGACCATCAAGACCAGAACGAGCTCTACTGTGACTGGTTTGAATGACTATCGGCCAGTGGCCCTCACCCTGATAGTCACTAAATGCTTCAAAAAACTGGTCATGACCCACATCAAAACAACCATCAACATCAACGAGGACCCTCACCAGTTCACATACCATGAGAACCGATCAACAGAGGATGCCATCTCCTCTGTGGTCCACACTGCTCTCAACCACCTGGAGCAGAAGGACTCCTACGTCTGTATGCTCTTTGTGGACTTCACATCTGCCTTCAACACCATGATCCCCCAAACCCTGATGGACAAACTACTCACACTAGGACTAAGCCCCTCCATCTGCAACTGGGTCCTAGACTTTTTAACAAACAGACCACAGTCAGTGAGGATCCACAACTTCTCCTCAACCATAACCCTCAGCACTGGTTCTCCTCAGGGCTGTGTGCTGAGCCCCCTCAGTTTTACTCTGCTCACGTATGATTGTGCAGCTACCCATCCAGGCTGTCACATTGTAAAGTTTACAGATGATACAGCGGTGGTGGGATGCATCACAAACAATGATGAGTCCAGCTACAGACAAGAGGTGGAACACCTGGAGAGCTGGTGCAAAGAGAATAACCTTCACATCAATGTGAAGAAGATGAAGGAGATGGCCGTGGACTTCAGAAGGAACAAACACCCCCCCCCCCCCCCCCCCCCCCACACACACACACTAAACAAAACAAAAAATAAAAACATAAGAGGATCTGCAGTGGAAGTGGCCTCCAGCTACAAGTACTTGGGTGTGCACCTGAACAACAACCTCAGCTGGAGCAACAACACCACCAGCCTGATGAAGAAAGCTCATCAGAGACTCTACTTCCTCAGGCGGCTGAGACGAGCTGGTCTGGAAGCTCAGTCCTCACCTCCTTCTCCAGGTGTGCAGTGGAGAGCATCCTGTGCTCCAGCATCAATGTGTGGCATGGAGGCTGCACAGCTGCAGAAAGAAAAGCTTTGCAGAGAGTGGTGAAGGCTGCACAGAAGATGTTGGAGTCAGCCTCCCCACCATCACAGACATCTACACCTCCAGATGCAGGAAGAGGGCCACCTGCATCATGAAGGACCCCACTCACCCAGCACACACACTTCTTGTCCCGCTTCTCTCAGGAAGGAGGTTGAGGAGCATTAAGTGTAGAACCACTAGACTGAGGAACAGCTTCTACCCTGAGGCTGTTAGACTCATGAATCTCTAACTAGAATAATCACTGTAATGACACTTGGTTGTTGATGTGTGCTGCTGACTATCCATGCTGCTGATCTCATGCTGCTGATTATTTCATGTTGCTGTTTTCATTAGTCCTCATCTGTTCACAGACTCATGTTCGTGCTGCTGTTGTTTTGATGAATTGTTTTTGTACCATTAATGCTTAGTGTATTCTTAGTCTTGTGTATTCTTGGTTTAATGAATGTAGAAAATTCTTAGTTCATGACTCTGATCTTACTTATGTTTTTCTTTACAATTTGTGTTTTAGTTAGATGTAACTGGGACCCTGTGCAAACAGTTTCGTTCCAACACATGTACCACATGTGGTGCGAATGACAATAAAGAAACTCTGACTTTGACTCTGATTAGTACAGTATTAGTACAGTAGTATTACAATAAACTACAGTAAAATGCAATTAAAACAGAAGTAGTGTTATACAACAATAAATTCAGGTGCCATTTAAAACAAGGTAAAATACTAAAAACAAGAACGTAAAACATAAAAAGCATACTTCATTGTGTGTATAAATAATTTGCTTTGTATTTTTATAGTAGGTGGATCATTCGGACTTGGCCATTTTAAATGTAGCTCGCATCAAGAAAAAGTATGGGCACCCCTGATTTAGGGTAAAGGTAATTGGGAAAGTGGAGGCAGCTGGTGCTTGAGAACAGGTGAGAGTTGCAGACTGACTGGAAAACATGCAGCAACCGAGGGCAGATGAACACGAGAGTTAATCACAAGGTACAGAAAACAAAACATAATAACCAAAGAGAGAAACCAAATCTGAATGTGAACACGACGACAATCAAAAAGTCATTGAAATACACAGATAGTGACAATAATGTGACTGAAAAACAAGACCTTAGATACAAGTGACGGACATATTTTTCTTGAGTAGAGTCGCCAAGCTTTGTCTTGGAGATCAGGTGAAAGCTCCATCATCAGGTTGGTGATGCACCTCATCTTGGAGGTGTTCAGACTAATTCCTAAAGGTGGTATCTCACTGGGCTGTGACTGGCATTCATGAGGGAGTCAGCATCTTCATAAATTCTTGGTAAATGCAAAGGCGCCCGGTTCTGTTGCTTAAGTTATGAACATGTTCAAAAAGATTTTCTGAAGTAGTGAAGTAGCTGACGAGAAATCTTCAGCATGTCTTTAATCCACCTGAATTGTGTCGTGGGCGTCTACAGCTTCTCTTAAGAGCTCCAGAGCTGTAATTTGACACCTGCAGGAGCTCTCGTTTGACAGGAACCGCTTGAGACAGAAATCCAGGTCTAAAAACCACGTCTAGGTAATAACTATTGGAAACCTGGTCAAAATCTGCCTGCGCTTCTTTCAAAAGTGTAATCCAGCAGAATGATCATACAAGTGGGGCTGACTGCCCGAGTACAAAACGAGCTGGTTGAGTCAGAGTCCGAGATTCTTTATTGTCATTCCACCTCATGTGGTACACGTGGTGGAGCGCAATTATGTTCACACGGTCCCAGTTACATCCAACAATAAAATGTAAAAGAAAAACAGTAACAAGATCTAAGATATGAACTAAGAAAAACATCAACTACAAATACACTAAGCACTCATAATTGAATAGTTTTATCAAATGTCAAGTAACAAATTCTCTCATTCAGACACTGATGTTTTAATGAAACAAAGTCACGAGAGCTGAAGGATTTAGCAGATTTCCTCATTTCATTACTTGTCAAATGTAAATTACAGAGCACAAATATCAATGTGACATTATTTATGTCATACATATAAAGCACAAAGTTCTGCTGTGCCAGAGTAAAGAGATTTGTGGCACACAATCACATTCTACAGACAGCAGCAGAACATATAGACGATCATTTCTTGTGCAAAATGCAGACGTTCAAACAGATTTGTCCCCGAGCAAAACTCCCTGGAGAGTCAATAAATCCATTTCAGGATTTCAAAAAAATCTTATTTGCCTGCATCAGTAAAACCTTTCATCTGCCCATGAGCACACAGGTATTCATGTATGGACACACACACACACACACTATCACACTGCCGCACACGCTGCTCTTTGTCCTCATCTTTTTTATCTGTACTTCTTTTTCTTTCCACCCACATGGCAAATAGCCTTTTAAATAAAGGTTCAATGAAAAGGAAAGAAAAGAATAAGGTAGCATTGTATGTGTTTGTATATATGGGCTATGTCCGTATACACATATACTTTGTACACACACACACATATACATATATATATATATATATATATATATATATATATATATATATATATATATATA